CCTGTTCGGCTAAAACCAATTTTGAGCTCCTCACTTTACAAAATTAGTAAGTTTTAATCCCTAACCTTATATTATGACATTTTTAACCCTTTACTTTACAAAATTGATAGATTTTAACCATCATCTTGCAAAATTAATAGATTTTAACCTCTCACCTTACATTATGACACTTTTAGTCTCTTATTTATACAAATTAAAGAAAATAACTCACTTAACATTAGATTATAATATTCTATTAGTTGATTGTCAATTCTGTTAATTGACTGTTAGTTTTGTTAGCTGATTGTTAGTATCTGTTAGCATTCCGTTAATGGAACTAACGAATAAAATTAAATTTAAATTTCATGTTTTTAATAACAAAATATTAACAGATGTTAACTGTCAGCTAACAGAACTGACAAGATGTCATAACTTAATATTATGTGAAAGTTATTTTCTTCAATTTGTATAGGTGAAGGGCTAAAAATGTTATAATATAAGATAAATGGTTAAAATCAACCAATTTTGTAAGGTGAGGGGTTAAAACCTATCAAAATTTGTAAAGTAAAAAGCTAAAAATGTCATATTATAAGGTGAATGGCTAAAACCTATTAATTTTGTAAAGTAAGGGGCTAAATATTGGTTTTTGCCCTTTATTTATTTATTTTTTTCTTTTTCCTCTTGCAATTTATTTCCTTAAAAACATATCCCGAAACAAATCAACGTAAAATAAATTAGACACTTTCAATTACAAACTTATTTTTATTAGCATTTTTATGTTATTTTCATAATAATAATAATAATAATAATAATAATAATAATAATAATAATAATAATATAAAGTTAATGCATATCAATCTCGATTTTTAAAAAATATTAGAATTTCAATTTATATTTAAAAACTGAAATTTTAATTCAAAATTTAAAAATTTTAATTAGTTTTTAAATCTAAATATTAATATTTAAAATTAAGATTTTAATTTTTTTAAGAGTGAGAACTGATGTGTATTTTTTTAATATTATTATTATTATTTTAAACTTTTATATATTTTTTGTATTTTTAAACAATTTTAAATTTTTATATTTTTATAAAAAATTTTGAAATCAAACTTTATGAAAAATCAAGTTATGACAAAGGCAATGTTGTTACACTTGCAATTGTAACGCTAGTCATTCACTAACGCAACGTTTCTTATTTAGGGTCTGTTTGATACAACAGTTAAAATTTAATGGATAGTAGATAGTGGTAGCAGATAGTGAATAGCGGTAGCGGGTAGTAGGTAGCGGTTAGCGGATAGCAGATGGTGGATGGTGGATAGCAGAAAGTTGGTAGCAGATAATAAATAGCGGATTCGATAAATATAACTGTTTGGCTATATAATAGTTAGCGGTTGTT